AAGAGAAAAACCTTTCTCCCGTGTCCGAAACCATTGTCGGAAAAGTCTATGCTGCGAGTTATGATGAGTCTTGGTTCAGAGTCCAGGTTTTATCTATTAATGGTAAGAATGATGTGAGTTCTTTTCTTTGTCATTGCTCATGCTTTTGAATAGTGTATTATATTGTCAATTTTCTGTTAAGTATTTTAAACCCGTGTCCTTTTTTTCTCATTTTCAAGGTGATCAGGTGACAGTTCTCTTCATAGATCATGGAGATGAGGAACAGCTGTCAGTCTCATTGATCCACAACCTTCATAAGAATTTCTGTAATCTTCCAGCACAGGTAATCTTGAGGACAAAGTAAAAGTTGGGACAAATGGCTCTTAAACTGACTAAATATTTTCAGATGTTTTCGGTGTATGGTTTGCTAGATAAACAATTCTTTGATTTGTGCATTGCAGAGTGTATCTTGTGCACTAGCAGGCTTGGAGTATGGAGGAAAAGACCAGTCTGCCCTAAATCTCTTACAAACCTTAGCCCTTGGTCAGACTCTGGTTGGGCAGGTGGTCTCTCGCCAAGACAACATCTCTCTTATCTTGTTCAATACAGCTACAGAGGAAGACATCAACATTAATGAGAAAGTGTCACAGCAGCTTGACCTCAACTTCGTGGAGCCAACTCTTCCCCAGGTGTGATTAAAAGAGATTTTTTAATATGTGGTTGCACACCCTTTATTGTAGAGATTTACAAGAGTCCAAAGATTTCAGCATAAGTTTGAAAATAGGAATGTGTATTCCCTTGTGTTTTTCTTGAATTTGGTACTTCTCTGTATGTCTGATAGATAAGTAGATCTTTTGCCTGAATATATCTAGTAGAGCTTAGCTAACTGTGATAATGATTTTACTTCCAATAATACCTCTATTATTTTTGTAACATCTTTAGCCTTATGGCATATATTTACACCTTCCGTCTTTTTTAAACTCAGGTTGGTGGGGTAGCAGAGGTATATGTGATGCATGTCACCTCTAGTGGAGATATTTATGTTCAGATCGAGACAGAGACCTTCAAGCTGCTTGAGAACCTCTTAGAGATGGCAAGAAGTAAGTCAGGTTTTGTCACTAAAATAAAGATGTAATTTTTAATTGAACGGAAATGATAGGCTGTAGTGTTTCTTAATTCGTGTACAATGGATTAGATATATTGAATACAATTAATTAATTTTTGAATAATTAGTGATGATGCTAAGTTGATAAGTTTAGTGAATTCCAGGAACCTGTAATGATCATAAACTTAGAATTTTAACATGTCAAGATTTTAGACCGATAATTCTAGTGTTACTAGAGGCTAAGTGTGCAGAAAGAAATAGAATAGGCTTCACTATATATGTTCTTAATATTTGGAGTCTTTTCCCAAGGTCGAACTGAAGAGATGCTGGGAGAAGATGTGAAGATAGACCCAACCCGCCTTTACCTCGCCCAGTTCTCTGAAGATGGCCAGTGGTACCGTGCAGCACCTCGAAGCAGTGTTGACCCAGATGGCAAGGTAAGGCGATGTTAGACCAGCCTTATATATATTTACAGTTTTGCTTTGGTGTGGCTTGAGTGGGGGAGTGCTGGTTAGGATAGGGCCTAGTCAGATAAGAAGAGTGATAGTGTGTTAGAATATAGTGGATCTCAGAATTTAAGCCTAGTGTGGGTGCCTTTTTTCTTGGGTGTTGAAATATATATCGTAAATAGTTCTACATAATACATTGTCACGTGGTTAGCCATTAATGTGGGACATGGACATTAGGAGTGGGATAAGGGCAGAAGAATATCTGATTTAAGAATTTAGTATTGATATAGCTGGAGATTAATATAGATACAATGTACTTTTTCATTTGAAACTTATAATCAGCTAGTTGTTTATGTTACTCTTAGAGAAGGTACTTTTTATACATTTAATGTAATAAAGGTTAATTGACTTAAAGAATGATTAAACTTGTCTTTTGAAACTGCAAAATAGCTCTTAATATCAACTTGACATGCTTGCCTGCATCTTGAGAAGTGTGCACATTGCATTGGGCACATATTTCATTACCTACTGCTAAGCCTGATAGCTATTATGCATCACATTATTACCCACAACACATGAAACAAACACAAGAAACTTATGCTGGATTTTAATCTGGACTTAGTTAAGATATTGGAAGAGTTTATTTTAAAATTATTGGCCCTTTTCAAGCTAAAATATTTATATAGCATCACTTGTCCAGACATTGTCAGTTGTCTCGGTTATATCTTGTTGCAATCATCCACACTATCATCACATCACACACTGATTTGTTTTAACCACACTTTGCAAATGTATTACAGTTGCATACTGAGTATTGATCTTTCTTCCTTCAAGCACCACTATACTTTTGTCAATCTCACTGATATTATTGTCTATTTGGTACATTAGACTTTTTGCTGAAATACATGCATAAATCAGAAGTTTGTAAGACATAATTTGTTTCCTTTTTTTGTGTTTAGCAGTGTATAATGTTTAGATTTGGAACATCATCTATGAGCTTATGGACTCATTGTGCATATGGAACTTGAGTCTTGGTGGTATAGGATTCAGTTTTCTCTAGATCTTGCATTTGACTTGTAACAATTCAGATTTTCATATAAATTACTGTGATTTGTCACAATTTTTAAAATAGTTTTGATATGTTTTTTTTTTTTTTTATTTGGGGAGGTTCTTTGGAAAATTAATTTTTGGTTTTTGATTGAATTTCCATTAATATTTTTCTTTTTCATTAGGATGGCCAGAAAATAGAACTCATCACTTGTAATTTTGATAAGCAAACCAAAAAAATATCAACATTTCCTTTGTCAGTTTGACAGCTTTAATAGAACATGAATAGTATGTTGAAAGATACCATGATGAGTCATTAAGGCAGAAATAGAGTAGAGAGTTCATTGGTATGTGGTATTTTATGATGAAGAATCTTTGCGGAAAACATGCTGTGGTGAGGGGGTCGGTTAGGATTTGGGAGTTTGGTTTTATGGAATGTTTGAAAATAATATAGGAGACTTCGGCATTAGGATGGATGGGTTTTCTTTGCTTTTCTATCTCACTGATGAGAAACAAAATTGAGTTCTTAAGCTAAATTGAACCTTTTCCACAGGACCTCCTATTTATATCTTCTTTATGTCAATTAGGAATCAAGGTGAAATACTTTTGTACAAAATACAGTAGTAATGTATAGTTTAATGGATTCTAATAATGTAACTATCTGTGTCTCCCAGGTACAGCTTATGGTTCTAATCAGTGTTTTTTCTCACCCAAATTGTCTTAAAAAAAATAGATACTTATTAACAGATAGTGTTTTTTATAACTGTCAGTTATGCATGGACTAGAATAGTATCACATATTTGTGTTCGTCCCCCCTCACATGGTATTGTTCTCTACCCTTCTTGTGTCACGGACTCCAGGGTAAGGGACTTCTGCTACCCAACAAGGTACTCTTTCATGTCCATTCTGTGACCATCTGTCCTAACCCAGTATTAGGTGGCAGTAGATTACCAAATTCATTATATGAACAACAAAACAAAACAAAAAAAAGAAAGAAAAAAAGAACTACAACATCATCAGATTTCTTCTTCATAACAGAAGCATGCTGAAAGTGTTTGTGGAATGTTTATAGAATTTATTAATTGTATTTACAGTTTCCCTGGACTGCATCTGCCTAGTTGGCTTACAATAGTTTCAACATATTTCCATGTGCCAATATCAGACTCATTTGTTTGTTGCTGCAGTGTATTGGTTAGAGGCATATTACTTTGTCTACACAGGGCATCAGTATATGTGTGGAGCCCAGTGTGGATAATGTAATACTTAACTGCATGATTTGTGTGTGCTGGACACAAGTGATGGGCTGTGTGTGTGTTCCAGTGCACTTCCTCTTGGTGTTCTGCAGTCATGTATGACCATGCTCTGCAGCAGCAAAGTGGAGTTTGCATATTAGGCCTTAGGTGTGTGGCTGCTTGTGCTCGTCTAACTAACCCCTTAACTCAACTAACAGGTTTTGATGTGGTTTGTGGACTTTGGCAACTCTGACCGAGTGCCGTCCGCCAGCCTAAGGCCGCTGGAAGGTGTCAATGAACGTCTGACCAAAATCCCACATCAGGTAAACAATTGCAAGGGTTTTGATGACTTTTCAAAAATGGTTGTTTATGTCAGACAGTGAACTGATAGGCATGTGTTATGAAAGAACTAAGGTAAGATGGGGAGGAGGCCTCAACAGATCAGAGGACTTGAAAGGATAGGCAAATACCTTCTCTGCAGAAATGGAAAACTAAGATATGTAAGTTTTATTATCATTATCACAATTATTTTCTTTTTTTTAATATTCCTTCAAAGTCACCCATCAGTTGGACCCACAGCAGTAGCATTTGATGATAATCAAATTGGAGCATATGAAACAGTTTGAACTTTTCTCAGTTTTCTTTATGTATATCTTTCTTTTTTTGTTAAATTTTAATATAGGACTTCTTTTCTTTTACATTTATGCACAAATTTATAGGTATACCACAAAATATGAAATATGTTTAATGCAATACAAAGATTATGCTGCTTAGCCAGCTTCTTGGCTTTAAACTGCTATTTTTCCTGCTTTGCACAATATATATTTTTTCATTTTTCTTTTTCAAGTACAGGATGTTTTAGTACACAAGGATTACGAATGAATTATCAATACAGAGTCTGTACTCATATTTTTCTTTGTTTTATTTAATTTTATTTCTTTTCTTGTTGGGAGTCGCCCCTTCCTATCTTACATGATTGTGCTCCTGGAAATCTACAATTTAATTAAAGTGTCATGTAAACTCATTTGCATGCAACACGTTTTGATTGCATGGTCATGTTATAGCTTCAATATACTGTTGTTCACTGGCTGATAACCAAGAACCAGTATTCTCATCAAGGACTCTGAAGCAGAGAAGCAGCTAAACATTGCTAAGTGGTAATTGTTAGGGAAAAATTTTCACATTATTAGAAATACAGCAAACATTATAGGAATAGCAAAAGATGATTCACACTTCATGCTGATCGTTTTCTCTCCCATTACACAGTTACACCTAAGAATCTGTCCCAGGTCTTGGCTTTTCTAGTTTTGGGTTTTAGAAAGAGGGAGAGAGACAGGAATAGTTGATGAGATAGAAAACCCTATGGCCAAAAGAGAACATTGTACATGTCATGAGTGTGGTGGTGGTTATTGATTTTGATAATTATGTATTTTTCAGAATAATCCTTTATGTTGGTACGTACATCATTTATTTTCTTACGATTAACCACCCAATGTTTGTCCTGTGATTTTTGTGGTTTGAATGTCTCAAGTGTTCTTTTGTTGTTAATGTGGGCTAGTATGTAAATATCTAAAAAAAAAAAAAAAAAAAAAATGTAAAAAAGATATTTGTACATATATCATATAACAAGACAGGCAATAATTTATTTATTTATTTACATATATATTAATTGATTAATTTGTTTTTATTATGATTATTTTCTTTAACATGATTACATTACATGTCTTCGATATTAACTTTAGTCATAATTACTTAACTATTTTGCAAGTGGAAAGAAAACTAATGTGTCATAAGTATGGCATTTGTACATGATAAGCAAAATAGCACAAGAAAAGTTTGCTAAAGCCACTCGGGCCAAGACAAAGAATGGGCATTTAGGAAAGCATTATGATTTGACTAGAGAGTTTTATCATATTTCCCTGGTTCTAAACCCCTTGGATCCGGATGATGTGGACGAGTTTGTGTGGGCTGTGCCTACAAGCCGCACGCCTGGGACCACTCAAGGAAGACTAATGCTCAAATTATGGTTTACACTTGTTGCCAGACACCTGGATCCAACGTGTTAATAGTTCCTTAAGAATATAGGAGCCAGGGAGCATTTGCATTATGACATCTAGACAATTTGCTGTGTTTCTGATAAAGTTAGAATGTTTATTCACATTAGAAAACAAACTATTTGTTTTTAAAATGAGCTTTAGATAATACTATATTAAACCTGTTCATAATTTAGGTTGCTTGTGGTGACACAAGTATTACAATCTAGAAATGAAAAGGAAAATTTTTGGTTGCTAACGCTTTCAACTCTTTAGGCCCTCTTATGTCGCCTGCACAATGTACCATCCGCTGGCCTGGAATGGACTGAACGTGCTTGTCACCGATTAATGGAGCTGTTGCCAGAGGACTCACCTCTGCTTCTCAAGGTTTGTATTTTGTATTAGTTTGGGTATACAGAAAAATTTGTTAGTAAAATACCGTTAGTAATCTTACATGTCATATAATACTACTGAGTGATATTTAGTTTGATAAGTTTATTTTCAAGTTTCTGTTTGAGGGCACAGTGTGTGTAAATGTACATATGTTATGCTTTACGGCATGCGAGAAATAGAAAATAGGAGTTACTGTTGTTTCAAGAGTAACATGGTTAGCATTCTCTTGAGTAACATGGGTTGTTGTTATTTTTTTTCTTTTTGCTAGAATTGCTTTTATTTTGTTTTATTCCAATTACTTTACAGGTGCAAGCTGTGAAAAGTAATGGTCCTCCATTGGTTGAGCTATTCAAGCGTTTGCAACCTCAAAACGAGTTGGTATCCATAAATGCCACACTCGGCATAGACAACAGTCTCTTCAGGTATGATCTTTGAATTTTGTTTTACTACATTGTTGGGTCTTTTTTAACGTGAAAAGAAAATTAAATGAAATTTATGGTAATGGTATTAGTAAAGATGTGACTAAAGTTATTATAAAGATGTACATTTATCTTTCATTTAGAAATGATGGAGATAGCAATAACAATAGTGTCAACAAGGAGGTGGTCCTTTCCCCATCGCGAACAAGATCACGACGTTCTTCTACAAACAGTCAGACTTCAAGCAGCTCTGGTGAGTAATTTAAATGGGAAGGGGTAAAAAGTCAATGACCCTGAAGAAATGAGAGCCAGTTCTGGTCAAAGAACTGTTCATCTCTGGCCCCAAGTTTGATAGTGGGTCGGGGCCAGTCAATGCCCCTGAAAAAATGAGAGCCAGATTAAGGATAATCCCTGATTTGAGTCTGGATCCAGAGGTTAAGCCTTATCACAGTAGCACCTACATTCTAAAAGAAACCAAATAGCAAGGGAAAGTTGCATGCTGTGCGTCCTCCTACAGATTCAGCCTTTCCAAACTTGCTGAAAATGATTTAATCATACTTTTGTAAATCAAGCCATCAGGAATAGGAAAATATAGCAAACAATTACCAAAAACACTGAATAAGCACTTGAAAAACCTCACAAATTGCCACTTTATTGTAGCAAGCCTATATTTTGGCCAACTGTGATTTAGGGGATAGGGTCAAAAGTTGGAGAATTGTCATTATTTCTTTTGTGTAATTACTTGATATTCAGGTCACATTATTAACTGCAAAAATTTTGACTTTAGTTTGGCAAGGAAGGAGTGCATCACTGCTCCACACCAAGGCTACTCTCTGTTTCATG